TGCTTTAGAACCAGCTGGTGTTCGAATGGCGCTTCCAGCTTGGACGGTTTCCATTCCTGGTGCTCCTGCGTCATCCACCCTGGCGTAGGTGGACGGAAGGTAGAGGTTGGAAGTAAGGTCTCTATGGAAGGGCAAGGTCGTTGCCAACCCATCGAAATCTAAGACCAGATTCGCGGCCAAAACCATGCTTTTTAGTAAAAAAGAAATCGTCCTTCTCCAATAAAAAACACCTTCTCTGTTAACTGTTTTTTGGGGGTCTGCCTCAATGCACAAGTTTTACAAAGCCAGAAACCGTGACAAAAAAGGTTTTCGTCCAGAATGTAACATGTGTTTTACTAAAGAGCTCAACCAAAGGTAACCATGAACCGAAAAACGTGTTTGCTATCCACACTCCTAACTGCTACACAGGAAAAGAAGTGAGCTGACGGGTTGCAAAAAAAGAATTCGTTTTTGCAGCAACGCTTATGACCACAGCTGCTGCAAAGTTGATTTGCTTGTGAGAATGCATGTGAAACAACGGTCAAATGACAGCAGGTGATTTCAGCTCTTTTTTGCCTCTTGCATACAGATCGATTTGCATCACAAATGTTTCCTCTTAGACATCTGGGCGTCAGAGAGGTTTCGGTCTACACATTTCCAAAACCCAATCCAATTGAATTGGCGTTGGCAAATAGAACCATAAGGGTACTCCTGTCAGCACATGAAAGGTTCGCGCCCAAAGAGGTTTGCCAGCTGCGATCAGGTTTCCAAAAAAAGGCGGTGTCGAGCACAGCCTCACAGGCCATGAGAGGATTTCAGTTCAAGACGCGCACAGCTGGCACAAGGCATCTTTGTGCTCACATGTGTTTTGTTCTTGATATGCTCGCAACGGTGGATATGAAAGCGATTGCCACTTGTTGTCACCAAAACCTGTGGTGGCAACCTGATGGAAGGTTCAGCCATTTCACCAGACAGGTCTGTCTGGCATGCTTTGGTGTGTACAGGCACCATCTTGTGACCAGCAGCTTTGGGGTGCTTTGCCATCTGGTGGTAGCACCATGACAAAGTTTCCCGAGCTACCAAGGTCAGCATGCACACCAGAGCAACAAGCAACTCAAGGGCGCCCATCCTTTGCTCACCAAAGCTCACCAAAAACCAAACCTGTTAAGTAAGATGGTGTTGTCCCTGCCTTCAATGCAAATGTTTGATGCGTTGTATGGGTTCTTTCTGCATCTTTGCACGCAGCTGTGTCTATTACATGCCCTCCTAGAAGTTGGAAGGTTTCGTGGCCATAAGTAACCCCTTTTGAACCTGCACAAAGCTGCAAAGCAAACGGTGTTGGTGGATCATCGCTTGCTTGGCAATTATTTACAGAAAGGTTGCAGACTGCCAGCTGCCAAGTGTGCGTGTTGGAGTATTCTGAAAAAAACTCATCCCAAAGAAGTTGCACCTTTTGTTGAGAGGTTGAAAGGGACGGGCGCGAGGGTCCAGGCACACGCAAAAGAGACTGTCTGAAAACAACATGTTTTGTCGTAAGTTGTATGTGGTGGCTTCTTACGAAGAGCACGTGGTGAGAAAAAAGCACACTAGCAAACACAAAGGTGCACGGAGGGAGGCGTGGACTTTTCACTGCTTTCGCTCAAAGTTTGGGTCGGCCAGACTGCCGCCGGCCTTCTGTTGCAGAAACCTTTTGGCCCTGTTGGCCACATGAACGGGCTGAGGTCTCAAGGCTCCTTGCATTGCTGGGTCTACTGGGTAAGAAGCTTAGTGAACAAGAAAACAATGACACAAAATGGGTGGCTGTCCTATCCTTGTCCCTAGCTTGAACCCACAAAAAGGAAATGAACATAAACACAACACTACTTACAAAGCAACCACTTCTCTTGCAATGCCTCCCTCCCTGAAACTCAGCTCCTTACAGGACTAGGGGGACTTGGGGGCTCGGATACGAGAAGCTGTCTCTCAGTCTCAGAACATCACGTCGTCAAGGTAGCTAAGCTTGCCAACCAAAGGTTGCCAGCGCCTGCGTACAGGAGTTATCTGACCACCCCGTCAGAGCTCCTGCCACAGCGCCTGGCCCCTGTGCACACCAACATGACTGCTGACGTAGCACTCTTCCCAAAAGAGAAAGCAAACAATGCTCTCGAGGCCCTGACCCTGACTGCCATGAATCTAATCTGAGCGCTGAGCACGCCAATCGGCAAAATCCATCCCAGTCAAAACAAAATTCACCAGCAGCCCTGCCTTGCAGGCTGCAAGGACTGACAAAGCTCTGCTGGCTGCAAGCCTGAATCTACGCAGTAGATCCTGAGCCAGCACTTCCCAAAGCAGGGGTGGACTTCAAGCGCTTCAACAGGGGCTGCGCTGCTGCTTCTGTCAAGGCCAAGTTCTCGGCGTCTGTCGGTGCCTTCAGCTGCAGCTGCAAAGCTTCAAGCAGCTTTCCAGTCTTGAGACCTTGCAAGGCTGCATTGTCTTGCACTTGCTTGTGACAAACCTCCAGGGTTCGCTGGGCATGCCCATCCATCAGCATGTGCACTCTTCCACCATGGCTGTCATCGAGAGTCGCGCACAAGAAGCAATGGTCACCGGGGATGACCACACCCTTGCCAGGCACCATGCTGACACTCCAAGTCTTCAGAGCTGAAAACTGCTCCCATGTCGCATTCATCAACCAGCCACGCTTATCATGCAAGTCTTTGCCAGGCACTTTGTCCAGAGGCACCCCAGCCAAGAAGCTCTTGCCCTCCAACTGAAGCCTGCAGTCTGGCAAAGCAAAGTCGGTGTGCAGGCTCACCTGGCAACCCTTTGCTTGCTGAAAAAACTGCGGGACAAACATCTCCTTCACCAAGTTCTCTGAAGTCTTGACATGGGAAAGAGCTCCAGCGTTCGCCAGCTTGCTCCACAACCCCGTCATCTTCTTGGACACGGCAGCTTTGGTGACTTGGGCAGACAAGAAGGCACCAGAACCTACCTTTTTCATCTGCTCGCTCACCCAAACCTTCTGGAACTTGTAGTACTCGTTGTTGGTCATCTCGTCGCAAAGGCTTTGGGCCTGGCCTTCGCTGAACACCACAGGGCCAACTTCAGCCTCTGCCTTGGCATCAAGCAAATCCTTTTCCAAGTTCCAGAAAACCCCATAGTCTTTCTCCAAGGCCGGGGTGACCTGCAAAGCATCCAAGGCTTGCTTGCAAAGGGTCAAGTTGTGCCAGCTGGACCCACTTGCAAGCTTATTGCTGCTCATTGCAGAACTATTGGCTTTTGTGGCAGCCTTGTCTTTCTTCTTCTCCTGCTGTTTGCACTTGGCCAAGAAACCTTTCCAAGACTTGATCTCGTCCTTGTAGTCTTTCAAAGGCTGGCTTTGGCTCATCCAATCTTTCAGCTGCTTGGCCACCTCGGCAATCTGATTGTGGATGAACGCAGCATCCTTTTGCGCAACACCGTTCTTCAAGCTTGTCTCCCATTCAGCCTTCTTCTCTTCGATGTCGGCCAGGACTTTTGGAAGCAAGTCCTCACATCGGGCCTGGAACTCGCTGCCCTCAGCCCTGAGCAACTCAGTGCCCAAGTGTGAGGTTTCCTCAGCTGCTTGTGCAGCCAAAGCTTTCTGGCGAGCTACACCATCGTTCATTGACTGCACACCTCGCTGGATGGTCGCTTCCAAGCCCATGGACTCGACGCCCACACTTTTGATGGTGACAGTTGGCTCCTTCTTTTCCTCCCTCTTCTTTGTAGCTGTGGCCTCCATGGTTTCCATCCACTGTTGTTCCACCTCAGCATCAATGACCCTCTGCTTGGCGATGTCTTGGGCCACATTGAGCAAAGATGCTGGGGCTTCGCGTGTGCCCTCCAAGAAGGCCTGCTTATCGCTCTCAAGGCGCCACTGTGCCTTGGTCTTCTTTGAAGCTGCTTCATCCTTGAAGTCCTGCAGGTCTGCTTCATCCACGATGTCTGCACGCTGACGCACGCCACTGGTGAGGGAATGCTCCTTGCCAGAAGCCACAAGCACACCTTGGAAGCTGCACAGCAAAGTTTCCCCACGCTTCTGCATCGTGCGGGACCCAACCTTTTTGCATTCAGCCTTGAACGCAGTCTCAGCCTCCTCGTATGATTGGTAGCGCTTGAGGCTCATTTGGCGAGCACACCACATTTCGCAAGTCTCAAATTGATCTTGCTCTTTCTCACCCCAGCTGGTCTTCTCTTCCTCCTGCACAAAGCCCACGCCAGTGGAAAAAGTGCGTTTGGTGCCACGTTCTTGCTGCCTTCGCTCGCTCCTCTTTCTTCTGCATGTACCATTTGGCCTTCTCAGCAGGGCTCATCTTCACCACGGTGGCCTTGACATTTTCTGCTGAGGTTCTCCTTTCCTTCTGTTCCTCAGACTCTGGCTTGTCACCTGCTGGCTTTTTGATTGCACGTGTAAGCCACTTGTCGGTGCTCACACACTCAAGGCAATTCCTCCTCAAAGCATTCCTGCCAGTAGGTAAGGAATCCTTCAGCGTGGTTGGCTGAGCACACTTCTGGCAAGACAGCCCTGCCTCTGGCTGAGCAGCAGAAGCTGTGGCTTCGTCTGAAGAACTCTTAGCAGCAGGAACACTTTTGGGAGACATGGCTCTATGGAGCTCAAGTGGGGTTCTTTGAGCTCAGAGGCTACTACTGCTAACGCTCAAGGCTTTGCACCAAATGGCTTTAAAAAATGCTTTGTAAAAATGACCACAAATTCATTGGAGGTCTTTCAAGGCCTTGTCTGACAGAAAGCTCAGAGCTGTACGTTGAAATCACTGCCCTCAAGTTCCTTTGCTCTTTTTTTGCACCTCTGTGAAAGCTACAGTGGCAACTAACAAACCTGAGCTGAATTAGGGAAAATAATTTTCTCTCCTCAACTCTCAAACCGTGCTTCAAACAAAAGCAGGGATGGACGATCTTCGACGGTCACTGCGCGGCAGTTCCTACCACTAGCTAAGTCCAAGTGGTCAGCTGCCGTGCTGCAATTGCAACCTAATTCAAGTGGCAAGCAGTCCTAGATAGTCCTAGCATCTCATTCTCTTACGCCTGTGCTGGATCACTGTCTCAGCTGCCTCGTGCTGCAAAGATGGGCTTGCTAAAGGCCCACTGCTCGGAATGAGCGCCGCCAGTTCGGTTTGGGACAGCTTCTGCACTCCCTCCCTCCTGAGGACCCCTGCTCGCACAGCAGCCTCAAGCAAGGGAGAGACCATGCAGGCTACCTGCAAAACATTGAAGGCATTCCCTGCACCTTTTGTGGCTGCAGCATCTGTTCGGAAGTGCTTGGTCAACGATTCGCTGTGTCCTTGAAGCTTGAGCCTTTCAGAGGTGGACAAGTACCTGTGAAATCTTTGCTTCTCCCATGAAGCTTTCAGGTCAGCCAAGCTCACCAAAAACACCTTTGGCCCTTGAGTGCGGAGAGAAGGGATGGCATCAAAGCTCAATGCTCCCCCATACTGACGCAAGGGGTTTCTGTCAAGCTCTATGCACATGACCTGCGCGGTCACCCCATCCTTCTCAATCGCTTCTGCAGCCAACTTTTTGTACAAAGCCAAGTTCGCCCTCATGGTGTCGGTCAAACTGCTAGGGTCCAAATTGGGCAAGCTGTCGTCCAAGTAGTCTGCCAAAAACTGCTTCTTGTCAAAGATTTCTTCGAAGACTTTTGGTGATGGTAATGGACTTTCGGGGTGATCAAGGCAGTCCATTCGAAGACCTCTGACCCAAAGCCTGGGCCTTGAATGAGGCATCAGGACCTGCAGATCCTGTTCAAGTACCTCCACTCGAAAAAAGGGGCAGCAGCAGACAATCAGGTCGATCAGCTTCCAGAAATAGCTGTGGCTTGCCAAGGCGGTACTGTTCTCAAGCAGGAAACACACCAAGCTTCCGCGCCAAGCCTGGTGGATGATCCATCTCACGGCTATTTCCAAAATTTCTGATCTGGGGTCAGCAAACCCGGCACCCCTCCCGTTGGGTGCGTAGGGCTGGCATGGTGGCCCAGATAGAAATAGTTCCACATCTGGCAAAGAATCATCTGCCACTTTTGTGACATCGCCTTTCTCTGGGCCACAAAAGACAGCTTCAAGGCCAAGTGCCCCTGACTGCCCCAAAGAATTGTAAAAGTCTTCGATGTCGGCGTCAAAATCATAGGCGCAAACCGACTGGTATTGCACGCCTGAAGCTTCTGTCCAAGTCCGCAGTCCCCCGATTCCACAGCATGGCTCTGCTGCCTTCACTGATCGGCCAAGGTACCGGAAAACTCTGCCCACTTTGTAAAGGGCGCTCGCCAAAGAAGAAGCCATTGCTTTGCGCAGTGGAAGCCCTGTGTGTTTCACACAAGACAAACGCCAAATGCAATGGAAAAAAAGGCCCAAGAAGTCTATCCGCGCTGATGTCGCTGTATCTGTTGGAATTGAAAACCTTATTTGTTTTGGAACGTACCTTAGACCGTACCTTGCTTGGACCTAGCTGCGGTTTGCCATTCGCAGCAAGTCAAAAAACATGTTCGCAAGTGTGCTTTGTCGTTTTACACCAATCCTGGCCAATCCTTTGTAAACAAAATGAATTGACAGCGCACAGTGAACAAGAGAGCTCTTTGTGTGTGTGTGTGCAAAGAGACTTTGGAGCAGAAGAGACCTTTGTAAGCAAAGGATTCTGTTTAAATGTTGTTTCATCCCTTGTCAATTGACCTTAGGCCTATGCTAGGGCAAAAAGCTCCTTCATCACACTTCTCTGTAAAAATCCAAACACGCTAAACACAACCACTGCTGACGCAGTCCACTCACAAGGAAAAGAAAGGGAAGCTTGCTCAGCAAGACGCCGCAAGACATGAGCGAGACATGGGCGAGACACGGCGAGACACCGCAAGACACCGCGAGACAGGGGCGAGACAGAGGCGAGACACCGCGAGACAGGGGCGAGACACCGCGAGACACCGCGAGACAAGGGCGAGACAAGGGCGAGACAGGGGCGAGACAAGGGCGAGACAAGGGCGAGACACCGCGAGACAGGGGCGAGACACGGGCGAGACAGGGGCGAGACAGGGGCGAGACAAGGGCGAGACAAGGGCGAGACAAGGGCAAGACAAAAGCAAGACACCCAATGAATCAAGAAGAAACACTGAGAATGCATCCAACCTATGGGGGAGGTTCGGCACACTGGCTATCCTCAAAACTACAGTGAAGAAGGCAACGCCACATAAATCCAAACCAAAAGCACGCGCAAAGCAACGGCCGCGACAAAAAGAATGAATTTAGTGGGAAAGGGATCGAACGCATAAACAAACCACACGACAGCGTGCAACGCTAAGGCTATCCATGAAAAACATGAGAACTCTTATACTGAAACACCCTAAATACCCAAAACCAAAACCTTCTTAGACAGAAACCCATACCACACCTGCACAGCATCAAAGTTCTTGAACATGACAAGAAAATGCAGCAATGTTTCGAAAAAACAGGTTTGACATCGAAAGCAAGCCCTCTACGTCAAGTTTAGCAAGCTGCCATTTCTTTTGGCGCGTCTTTCCTGATTCATTTCAGTGTCACAAAGGCCAATGTTCTAAGACAATTCAACCACTCAGTCTGGGCCTGAAGCCTTGAACTCCGGGCTGCAACTTTAGAAAAACAAATGACAACACAAAATATAAGCTCAGGTTTGTACTATTTTGTACTTATACCTAATTACGCTTCAACTTGAAAGGCCAAAAAAGCCCAGGCCCAAGTAAAGGTGTGAAGCCATTGTCACTGTAGTGGCTTCTCTTCCAAGAATTTCGCAGTGAGCTTAAAAAAGTCTGCAAGCAACTCACTCCTCGTATTAGCTGCTGTCGCGCTTGAGGAAGCAGGGCATGGTGGTTCAGAGTGGGGCCGCTTCTCCTCCACGGACCCCACTGGCTCCAAAGACGCGGGCTCTACATCCTTGTTGTCTTGGCCAGGCTTTTGCGGAGGTAAGGACACAGCTTTGTCTCGGGCATTCCTTGGACGGAACTTCCTGGAGAAATGATGAGCTTCGTTTGAATCAGCATGCTTTGCCCACACATGCTGGGCAAAGGCGAACTCTCCACAATGACTCTTTCCACACAGGCCACAGACCCATGACTGCTGAGGGCGGCTCGCAGAAGGCCCAGGTGTGAGCCTACATGGACTATGACCATCACGCCTATGGTGCCTATCACGCTGGCCTGAAGACGGTGACAGCGTCTTCCGCTCTAAGGGTGGACGGCGATCTTCATGACGATGACGACGGGGTGAATGAGGAGACTTCGTGCTTTGTCGGCGCCTTCTCCTTCCCCTCGATCGGCTTCGCTGATGCTCAGTTTTGCCCTTGTCGGCATCAGCATGGTGAGCAGGACGGCTGACCTCTTCTGGGCCAGCTCGTTTGCTGCGCTTGCCACGAGGAGGAGTAGGTTGGCCTAGGATCCTGGTTGGGCTTTCACTGGAGGAACCGGCCTTGCCCTCCAAATCATCATCTGCAAAAATTGTACGGGTGTCGTCAGCTGGCGAAGTGCTCTCGTCACGTTCCTTCTTACACGTTGCAGCCATCCTGGCCAGGGCCAGGGAATCAAAGCAAAAAAAGTGGAAAGGAATGTGAATTATCCTCCCTAATATTGTCCCTAATATTACTTTGCTCAACCGCCCTCAGCAAGGTTGGGCTGCTACATCCGCCCTCGAATGAGGGTTGGGATTCGCAACCGCCTTGGGGGGTTGGGTTGACAAGGCGCCGCCTTGATGCAAGGTTGGGCCCCCTCCGCCTCTCTCAAAGAGGTTGGGAGGTGGACCGCCTTAACACAAGGTTGGGCTTGCCTCAAAGTTTCAAAGTTTATTCAAAAAACTAGGTCTGCTAAACCTGGCGCGTCCCTGTTTCCAAGTTGCCCAGCCTCTGTCAGCAAGCAAGGCCACCCCAGGGCCCAAAAGACTTCAAACATTTGCTCGCAGCTTGAGCCAAGAAACAAGAAAACAAACAATGAAATGGACAATTGCTTTCGCATTGTGAAAAAAAGGTCTGACCTCCTGACTGACCAGCAGGCTAGCGTTGCCACTGGTGATGACCTCTTGCCTTGTTTTGACTTTTTGCTCTTGATCCAGCCCTCTTGCCTTAGGCAACAAGACTATAGTCCAATGGATCGTGTCACGTGAAACAAACATGGAAAGCATGTTGCCTTCTTCAACTTCCAACAATTCAGGAATGAGCTTGTATACGCAGCATCTGCTCCACTTGTTGCCTTGTGGGGTCTTGCAGCTTGTGCTCGGCTGCAGTCCCACATGAAGAGCCCATGCGGTTCCAAGCCAATAGCCAAGACTCTGCATGAGCCTTACTGTCGTGGTTCTTGACAAAAGTATATCTTCGGCATTGCTCGTGGTGCACACACGCTGTAAAGCAACGCAAGTGGCCACTGGCATGGGTAAATCTGTCGTACAATATATAAGCAGCTTTCATTGTTGGTTCCTTGCACTCGACTCGGTCCAAGGCCAGAGCTTCGTCTGGCATCTGCAGCACACCTCCCTCCTCTTGGGGCTCATCCATGATTGCTAAAGGTTTGGCTTTCGAACCTCTTGGCTTAGCTTTGCTCTTGTAATTCAAACAGCCTGCATCCTTCAACTTCTTGAAGGATGTTGTGTCGGTAGCCACCAGCAAATCCAAGTAATAGCTAGCAGGGGCCATGTGGTGAATCTGCTTCAAAGACCCAGGTCTTTCAAAAATCACGTCAGACAGCAAGAGCGCCTTGAAATAGGCTTCTGGCCTTTTCCAAACTTGATCACAAAACACCTTGGCTTTCCCACGCTGGTGCCATGTGATGTCACGTTTCCACTTCTTCATGGTCCATCCTTCTTGCAGCAAAGCAAGTACAAAGGCTAGCTTACAGGATCTCTTTGCTTTTCCAACGCTGCTTCCATGAGAATGAGCTCTTTCCAATAAAGGGTTTGGGTCAGACAACGTCATAGAAGGAGATATGCGCAGCGCATCGGTCAGCCACCAACGCTCATCCCCCAGAGAGTCACAAGAACAGGCTATAATGTTGAGAGATCGCAGGTGGTCCATCGCAGATGTATTGAAATATTCAAGGTCCCATAGCCCAACACCTGCGTCCGCACTTAAAGCTTTCTGTTGAACAAGTGCCATCACGGTTGATCTCTCTTCTACACTGAGAGGCCTGTCCTGCATCCCCACACTAAGGGAAAGGTTGTCTCTACCTTTTGTGTAAAGCTCGATTGCACGCTCTTCTCGCGCATCGTGGCCCAGGAGATCTGCCAAACCATCTTCATCTAGCAGCACGTCGGGGAGGTACAAAGGTTCTGAAGAAGATGTTAGAGCCGGTACCAGGTTCACATGCAATTCTGAGCAAGTTGCTCGCCAAACTGTTGCTTCCTTGCAAAAGAGGTCGAAATTTGCATGGGTCGCCAAAGTGGCAAGCTCCAGGGCCCTAGCTTCTCTCCCATGCATGTGTACATTAACAACATGGTCTTCTTGCCAAACAACATCAGGAAAACAAGACACATGCACCAAGCTGGCGTGATTCCTTGGCACGGTGCGCGTCTTCACCACCACCTTTGCTTCTGGGTAGGCGTCCACAACTGAAAAAAACACATGCCCACGCAAGCCCTGGGATGAGCTCAACTTGGCTGACATCAGAGCAACTTCCAATTGGAGAGGGGTCCATTCTCTTTCGGCTGCAGTCTCCTCGGACGGGATTGGACAAGTGGCATCCTTCCAGAGAGAAGCTGGAAGAGAAACAAAAGAGCCTGCAGGCAAGTAATGCTTCATGAAATACACAATTTGCATGGTTTCACCTGACAATTTTTGGAAAGCATCTTCCAAACTCAACTGCACGTTCTTTAGAGCCTTTTGGAAAGTCGCGGCTTCTTTCTCCCATTTGCTCACATCTGCAAAATGATCCTCAGCGCCACAAGCATAAACACGCTTGCATCGCTGCGAGAAGCTCAAAGACATGACGGTGGCCTTTGGCAGCACATGCTCCAGCAAGATCACAAACAATGAATGCGTCTGCCAATGTTGGGCCAACCATTGCATGTGGTTCTTGATCATGTCCTGGATTTCTGCTCTCCGTTTCCTGGCTGCCACCATCACAGGCCCAGCAAATCTGTATCCCCTTTGAGCATGAAACTTCACACGGGCATGCTCGCCCTCTGTGTGCCTTTCTGCACACAAGGCAAAGGCATGGGCTCGCACAAGAAGAAAAGCATCGGGATAGTCATGCAAGGACGTGTCAGGGCGCTCAGAAAAGTCTCTGAGTTGGCCAGACACAGCTGCATTGGTTTCCAAGAAAAAGGAACTTATGGCATCT